CGCAATAAAATTTTATATAATACAAATAAATAAAAAAAATATTTATTTATCTATAATTAATATAAACTAATTTTATAAAAAAAATAAAGAATTTTAAGTATAAATAAAAAATTAATACTACTATATACTTTTTTTAAAAAAAATTAGAATATATATCTAAATATTTTAAACACTATTTATCAATAAAATATATATACAATGTGTATATTAATTTGTAAAAAATAAAAATTTATATAATACAATTTAAAAATAAATATTTTTATTCATTTATAGTTAACATAAATTAGAAGAAATTTTATGTGTAATATACTCAAATTTTAATTAAATAGATTGAAGAGATTAAAAAAAAATAATAGGTAAAAAATGAATGCAATTTGCATATAGATATTTCTTTTTTGACTCTTATTAGACTTTTTAATGAACTAACAACAATATTAGATTTTTAGACTTTAGACTTTTCAATATCCATATAATTATTTTTAAACGGCAGTTATTATGATATATAATATATATCTATATATCTATATATGACTTCTAAAAAATAAAATCTATTTATTTATCATACACAATCATTGATTATTAACAAAAAAAAATTATTAGGTTACATTCTTAATATAACTGGTATTATCCAATTGATCTGTATACAAATTATATATTTTGTGTTTTTTTTTTTGTATAATTGAGTGTAAAATTATACAGGACATTTATATTATACAATCATTCAAAATTTTATTTTTTTTATTATATTTTTAATATTGTAATTTTTTTTCGTCGATTACACCGTGCGTAGCATGGGCCTTTCCGCTAGCAGGTGTCCGTGCTACGCAAGGTTAAATTTAATACTTCCTTCATCTATTTCTAATGTCCTAAAATATATTTGCACATATTTTTAACTTATTGTTTTTTTGTTATGAATTGATAAAATTGTGTATAGTAGAAATTAAAAAAATAAATGAATAAAGGAAAAAAAATACAAAATTTTTGTTTGAAAATGAAATAGGTCTATAGTTGTTGGACATCCAAATAAAAAAATAGGATATTAATTTGTGGACAGAGAGAATAATATTTATTGTATTATGATCATTTATATATTATATATATTTTTAATCAATTTTAAAAATAGTGTGAATAAATTATACATATATGTATATATATGTTATATAAAAGAGAAAAAAATCTCTTATATTGTGTTAGTTGTAAATTTTTACAGATTTTTTATTATCTCTTAATTATATTATAAAAAACTTTAGGGTAAATTGTTTTTTTTAGTCTCGTAATTTACCCTTTTATCATTTTAGTCCCCTAAGTGGAGCATGTCGCAAACTAGTCCCATAAGTGAAAGTTTTTCGTTGTTTTAGTCCTCCAGCGCCGGAGACGCCCACGTGGCTCACCAGAGGTGACGTGTCCGCCTGGTGTCCCGTCAGATCAGCAACACCTGGCGGACACGTGGATTTACTTTTTTTTTCATTTTTTTTATTTTTTTAATTTTTTTAGTTGGACCAAATAAAAAAATAAAAAAATACAAATAATATTAAAAATAAATTAAAAATAAGTTTTTTAAAAAAAATTTAAAAAATGAAAAAAAAATAAAAAAATCCACGTGTCCGCCAGGTCAGCGACACCTCGCGGATACGTCACCTTCGGCGAGCCTCGCGGGCGTCTCCGGCGCCGAAGGACTAAAACAACGAAAATTTTTCACTTATGGGACTAGTTTGCGACAGGCTCCACTTACGGGACTAAAATGATAAGGAGGTCCAGTTACGAAACTAAAAAACAGTTTACCCAAAACTTTAAATCAAATATTTATTTATTTATTATATTAATATCGAATTTTAATGTCCAAAATAGTACATAAGTATATATTAATATAATATAATTTTAATTTAAAAAACATTACTTACAATTTAAATCAAAAGATACGATCAAATAAATTTAAATGGAAAGAATTTGTTAAAAATTCATGACCAAAATATTTAGTAAGCTTGGGCATCCAAAACCTAAACCCTAAATAAACTTATACTCCATTATATCTAACAAATATTATTTGAAAAATCAAATAAAATATAAAATATATCTGAAAATATCCAATCTGAACAACTCTAAAAAATTTACAATGCTTGATTACACGGTTTAAATTTATTCTTTTTTTTTTGTTATCTAAATTTATTCTAGTTATTTTTATCTAACAAATTACTCGTTCCACTCCATTTAATGATTTTTTTTTTCTCTAAATTTATTCTATTATTATATTATGACATTTAATTAAAATTAACAATATCTATATACTTGTGACCATTTAGGCTTCAAAGCAAAATAAGTATAGGTAAATGTACTATCATCATTTGTACAAATATATAATGAGATAACAAAACATCTACGAAAAAAAACAAAAGACATCTTCACCGTTTAAATTCTGATTAAAAAATAAAATTCTCCCAATCGACAGTAAAATTCTACTAATTTCGCAAAACACAAAAAAATGGAACTCATGCAATCGAAAGAACTCCACAAATGTTAAGTTCTACCAAAATCGCATGGAATCAAACAATAATAGATATGCAATAGACATGTTCTCAAACATACAAAAAATTATTGTAAAATGACTATAAAATTTTATAAAAATCAACTAATATATGGTTATTTTTTTTCTCACATTATATTTAATTTTTGGGTTGAATTTTATTAAAAAATTATATATATTTTAATTAAATTATAAATATAAATTTTATAAAAGCACAATCAACCCTTAAACCAACATACTTCACACAGATATTAATGGATATATTGTTTTTATGTAAATAATTTTATTTATTATCATATTATTCTACCTCTTAATCAAGCTTAAAATTAATATTAGATATTCTTTAAAATAGATAAATATTTTATTTAAAAAAAAACATTTTATTTATTATAATAAATATTAAAATAAAAGCCTACTATCAAATAATAATAATAATAATAATGATAATAATAATAATAGTTATTAAAAATAAAGGTATATATATTATGATTGATTTATAATTAAATTAAAAAATTATTATGATTATATTTAATATATTAAATATTTAAAAATAATAATTAATTAAAATTTTATTGTAAAATTTTGTATAATATAAAAAATAAATATATTTAAAATACAATTACATTGTACATAAAAATTTATATATTGTAAAATAAATATTTTTTTTCATATATATAACAATTATTATGCATGATCCAAAAATACTTTTTGTTAAGAAGAGCCTATGAACTTCTATAATAATATATATAAGATATATAACAATAATTTAAATATACATATATAAATAATCATTATGTATATTTCACACATTAGAAGAAAATATTATTATATAGTATCATCAATCCAATTTTTCAACCAATCATTATGTATAATATTTTTTTTCTTTTCTTTTGTTATAAATATATTGTACTCTCCTCGTCTTTTAATGAAATGAATTCTTCGAGATTTTGTATTATATTAAAAAATAATAATATTTTATTAGTTAGTAAAAATATGTACGATTTTTGTCATTTGACTTTTTATTTAAAGTAATTGTACATGTAATGATATATTTGTAATTTAAGTAAAAATTAAAGATATTTGATATTAGTATTTAATTATATTTTCTAAAAAAATTAAAAATAAATACTTTAAAATGTGATAGAGAATTAGGACGGAGAAAGTAATATTTTTTTTAGTCCGTTTCAAATATTATATATTATTATTAAAATAGAAATTAATTAAAATAATTAATTTTTAAACCGTATTTTATTTTATTGTATCACTCAAATAAAAATAAATAAATATATAATTTCTTCTCTCTTCTCATATTATTTAATTTTCAAACAATTCTATAATTAAATATTATTTAATAAATTTCTATAATTATTTAAATTACGTAATTTATAATTTTATAGTTATTGCATTTTCATTGTTTATTTTTTATTTTATTTTTTTCAAAGTTTGGTGACTTTCAATGGTGTTTAAAGTATTGATAATACTTCCTCCGTCTCAATATAATAGTCTTGTTTAATATTTTTGTTCGTTTCAAAACAACAGTCTCATTTCCATAAATAACCATATAATTATAACATTACCTTTACTTTTTAATTATTATTACACAATTGCCACTATTTTTTTAACTAATATACTCACAAGGGCAAAAAATTCTTTATCTCGTACTTTTTATCCACTATTAATATAATATTAATATTTTTTAAATCTCGTGTCAAACACAATTCAGATTATAATTTTGAAACAGAGGGAACAGATTATAATTTTGAAACGGAGGGAATATTACATAATTCTTCTAATCTGATTTGGGTCTAACTCATCCCCATTTCTTGCCCTAATTCTTTTTCTCAGCCCAAATCAAATTCAAAATCTTTGCCGTATATATAATATATAGTCTCTCTATCCCAATTGCATGTACTATTTTAATATTTATATAGTAAAAAAATATATGAATAATCAAATTTACCCATTAAAAAACAAATAAGTAAAATAATGATTATAATACATTTTTTTAATAATATGTAAATTGTAAAAAACTTTAAAATTATATATAAACACAATTACAAAGAAAAAAAAAATTAATTTCGAATAGGCCAAAATGAAAAATAGATAAATTCACTAAAAATTATTAAATATATATTATAATTGTGATATGAATAAAGTATTATATTTAGCCCACGGTCTAACATGTTCATCTGCGGGCTAATTTATTTTCAACCAGCAGCTCACGTGGGTTGGCTCATTTAGGCTCGTATTTTTATAGGTTGGAAAAATTTAAATTCAACCGTCTATTCTCCCAGCCACACACACTCTCCCCCTCTCGTCTCGTCAGTTGAATTAAAAATTAAATTGTAAATTAAATATAAACTATTTACATTAATTTTTTTAACGGTGTATGATACTTAGATGGATAACTAGTTTAGTACTCAAAAGCTTATTGAATCAGTTTGTAAGATTAAAATTACTTTAGTCTAGTGTGACTTACCTTGTCAAGCCTATTTTGCAGGGTATTAGGATCGCCTGGAGGTTTACCCATGTGCACTTCGGTAGCGGCTGCGAATTCTCATGTCATAAAAAAAAAAAATCTTTTAGTCTAGATTAACTGAGTTTGATTCGATTCGCAGAATTGACGAACCCATCCACGACAACAACGGACCAACGTTTACTTCGGTGGACAGCAACGGCGGAGAGACGGCAACACCAGTTTCCTCGAACAACAGTAGGTGTGTGACGGTCCTCCGGCAGTTCTTGGCAATGCAGCGACGAAAGACGACACTCGACTTAGATCTTTATCTGGTGAGGGACGATTGGATTAAGGCTCAGACCCAAGTGCGAAATAGCCCGAGGTAACCATACTCAAGGTGAAAGTCATCACTTCACTCTAAACCTCGACAATAAGCTCACTCTTTAATTGGTTGGGCTTAAGGGTCTGTTTGGTTTGAAGAATTTGGAGGGGATGAGAGGAGAGGGAATGAGAAAAATTACAATTATCTTGTTTGGTTCAATTTTTTTTTTTTTTTTTTTTTTGGGTTCAACTTATCTTGTTTCCCCTCAAAATTTGGGGAATTTGGAGGGAAAGAAAAGATGTTTATGTTTTTAATTTATAAAATTACTATTATATCATTCATATTATATATTACTTTATCTATATTTAATTATACATAAATTATATTATACGTATTTTATAATTAATAATTAATTATAATATTTTTAAATTTTATAATGTAATAAAATTATAAAACAAAATTTTATATACTCCTTCTGTCCCGTTGGAAGGGTAGCGTTTGCTTTTTTTTGCACGTAAATTTTTTAATATTAGTATTATATTGGATTGTAGTAAGAAAGACAAAAATACCCCTATTAGTATTGTGTAATATAAAAGTAATGACATTTGTGTAATATATTGTAAGTTGAAAGAGTATTTATTATGTTAAGTAGGTAGTACAATTACTAAATTAGGAAATGGTAACCCAGTTTTAGGACGGACGAAAATGGAAAATGGTAACTTTCAATGCCACGGAGGGAGTAATCCTTAAGATCAGGCTTTAATTAATAAAATAAATTCATATCTCTTATATTTATTTAACACTATAAAATATATTATCTTTGTAATTTATTCTAAATAAATAAAATTTATGTTAGAATGATTATTTTGTTATTAAATGCTTCAATTTTTTTACATATAATTTTATTTTTATTTATATTTTACTTACATGATATACGTACTTATTTTAAAACAAACTACGACATTCTTATATCAAAATTGAAATTTTATTAATAAATTAATAAAATTTTATTAAATATTTTTATTTTTCTTTATTTATAAAACAGTAAAATTATTATATTTTCTATTCCATTCCTTGCTTAAGCAAACACAAAAATACTATTTTCTCTAGCCTCCTCTCCTCTTCTTTCGATATGAACCAATACACTATTACAATTTTAATATTCTCTCTCCTCTTCTCTCCCATTAAAATCCTTTCCCTCCTCTACTTTCATTTGAACCAAACAGAACCCTAAAGGTTTGAATTTGGGTTTGGGCCGAATTTGGTGAACTAGATTAAAGATTGGATCAAATTATATTTATTAAGAAACTTGTTGGGTAACAAGGCCGAAATTTCTAACAATTTATTTAATAGAAATAAATATAGAAGATTACAACCGTTCACAAATAAGTCATACTTGAAATTAAGGTTTGTTCGTTTGAAGGATTTTACCAAAATTTTATTATTCATAAAAAATTTTCCACCCAAAAACATCAAATTAAACACCTATTTTTCATTTTTTATATTATACTAAAAATTAATTTTACATTCAAAACATCGTATTAACACCTATTTTTACTATTCAAATCCCAACTCAAAATCCAAACTCCCAAACAAACACACCCAAACAAATTCTTTGTTTACTTGTGATTTAAAATTAATTTAAAACAAAGTAATTATTAGAATTATTGTTTAAATATATTTTGATATGATATTTTATATAAAAGAAAATTATATTTTTATTAAAAAATTGTAAAACATAAATAATATTTCAATTAATTTTTTTTTTTTATAAAAAAGACTATTAATCTAGCTCCGGACAAACACATCCCAAATAAATAGAGAAGATGCGACATTTTTCTTTTAAAATGTAATCAATTTCTATATTATTAAATAATATAATTCATATAAGCATATCTATCTGATTAGAGTTTAAACATTCAATGATGTCTATAATTGTTTTTTTTAGTCTCGTAATTGGACTCCTTATCATTTTAGTATCGTAAATGGAACATGTCGCAAATTAGTCTCACAAGTAAAACTTTTTCGTTGTTTTAGTCCTCCGGTGCCGGAGACACCCGCGTGGTTCGCCGAAAACCACGTGTCCGTCAGGTCAGCGACACCTGGCGGACACGTGAATTTTATTTTATTTTTTAATTTTTTATTTTTTTTTCAATTGGATCAAATAAAAAAATTAAAAAAAGCAAATAAAATTAGAAATATTTAAAAAATGAAAAAAATAATAAAATCCACGTGTCCGTCAGGTGTCGCTGACCTGGCGGGTGACACATGGCGGACACGTAGCCTCCGGCGAGCCACGCGGACGTTTCTGGCGCCGGAGGACTAAAATAATAAAAAATTTTCACTTATGAGATTAGTTTGCGACATGCTCCATCTTCGGAACTAAAAATAATAAGGGAGTCCAATTAGTGAACTAAAAAAATAATTTACCTTTAAATAATATACTTATATTTGATTAAGTTTTAAATATTCAGCAATAAGCGACTAGACTACTTGAATTATACCTGAAAAAAATAATAATAAATATATAAATTTACTAGCTGAGCTTAAGGAAAGCACGAAAAATTGGTGGGGAACAAAAGTGTACGTACACACAGAAAAGCCCAAGCACGCCAACGCTACATCATTTGATCTTTAGCCACGCCATTTTCAAATATATTCATTTTGTTTATACTCCAGGAGAGTTTTAATTGGATTGGGCACGAGATTTAAAAAATATTAATATTATATTGATAGTTGGTAAAAAATATGGATAAAAGACTTTTTTGTCACTCTAAATGTATTAGTATAAAAAGCAGTGACAATTGTGTAATAAAAATGAAAAAAAAAGTAAAGGTAGTTTTACGGTGATATGATTATTTATGGAAACAAAACTATTGTTTTGGGACAGATAAAAATGGTAAACAAAACTATTGTATTGGGACGGATGAAGTATATAATTGTTACATAGGGTGGGTGGCGGCTAGAGTGTTGAATTTAAAATTTAATATTGTGGTGAACAACAAATTGCGTATTATCAAACAACACATAATATTATTACAAACAACACACTATATATGTTAATATAATAGAAATACTAACACATGAATAAAAAATGCATACTATAGTCTCAACGATACACAATATTACTACAGACAACACATTATATATGTTAATATAATACAAGTACAACACATAAACTAACAACACATACTATAGTCTCATACAGCACACACAACAGTTAATTTTAGCACATGACATACTTATTATTAAAAAACAACGTATATATGTTATACACATCATGTGTTGTGTATTATACTAATATGTGTTATTTGCATATATAATGCGTGCTGATGTAAAAAATCAGTATGGCGATGATTTTTCCAAATCAACCTTCTAATCATCCTCGTTATATATATATATATATAAGTATATATTTACTAAAATATTTAGTTGTCTTTTTAATTTAATATATATATATATATATTAAATTCTAAATACTTCTATCCAAAAAATTATTATTATTGTCTTTTCTTTCACATTTAAAAATTTCTCCCATAGTAGGTTATGTTTAGATATATGTAGTTTGTTCGCTTAACAAATTATTATTTATATAATTTTTAATGAATATTAATAAAAATACAATATATAGTTATATTCACACAATATAAATATTTTTTATTCTCCTAAAAAAATTCATAATTAAAAAAAAAAGTTTATTTCCTCCATTTGTCAAATTTACTTTATTTTTTAAGCTCGTCCCCTAAATTTATTTAGTTTGATTTGATTTTGATTTTTTAAGAAAATTTAAATAGTATATTTTTATTAAAAATCTATATAAATTGAGTAATAAAAAATTTATTGGAAAGTAAAAGTAAACAAGCTCATGGATTTTGGATGTTTATTATTATTATTATTATTATTATTATTATTATTATAATTTTAGAAAAATAAAAATAAAATATTTGATATAACATTTTTATAATTAAAATGAATCATATAGTAATTTTTTTAAAAGTATGTGTAATTATAACCCACCAATGTACACATTTTATTTATTCCTATTACGGCATTATTTATTAGAAATTTTGGTGTGACTTTTGGAATTTTAATTATTTTTTAAATAAAAAATATTTTATGTGAGATTTTAATAATAATAAATATTTAATATATAGGTATATACGTTTAAAAACTTATTATCAGATGAGTAATATTTTTAAAAAAAATTAAACTGTGTTTGGTTGAACACCTAGGATGGGAGAAATTTTAATTAAAAACAAAAGTAGAAAAAAATAAATTAAACGGATAATTAGAATTAAATTTTCATTCCCACTAGTAAATTTATATTGAGTCTTTAATCCAAATTTATAATACTGCACTCCTCCTTTACAATTTGTTTTTATTTTTTTTATTTTATTTTTACTCCTTACCTATACTAAATTGATTGTAATTTTCAAATCTACTCCAAATCGCTGGTTAGATTCACACGAATTTCTCTTGTCAAAGAACCGAATTCCGGAGATAATCGACGATGTCGGAAGCCTTTGATTTCGACTGCCGGCCACCATCATTTTGGCGCCACAATCCGACGAACATCGACGATGTCGATGTCGTTGATTTTGATTGTTGTGCCCCTTCTTTTCGGAGCAAAATTCGATGGTGAACTGTAGCTCAGTGTTTTCTCTTTATGCTATTGATCGTCGATTCCTTTTCGTTGGTTATGAACGCCAACAATCCACCTTTCTCACTTTGTTATCATTTTGAGCCTTAATTAGAAGTCTCTTTGCCGGTAAAGATAAAAAAAAAGGGAGATCGGAGAAAGTTCGGCATGAGCCGTTGCTGTCCACCGATGGATTTGTCCGTTGCTATTCGGTGCTTTTTCAGTGTAGATCGAAAGAGAATCAGTCGTTGCCGATCAATGTCTGAGGCTGGTCGGGTATGTTAGGAGGAGAGCCGCTGTCCAGCCGCGCCAAGCCGCCGAGTACCTGAGGAAATCCGTGTTGTGCGCTAACTACCTGAACCGTCGGAGCTACCTGCAGCTCGTCGCCAGAGAAATGCACGGTGAAGTTCCATCGCAAGCCGCCATCGGTCAATTTTATCGCGCAAGAATTGAAAATTTATTCAATTCCGGAGAAAGAGAATGCAATAATTTCAATTGTCTTTAATTAGACATGTTTGTCTGCATTCTTATTTTGATTTCTAGATTTATGTCTTTTGTTTTTCACGTGTTAACTTTACTTTCGATTTGGTAGTAGTATTGAGTTTGAGCTTTATTTAAATTTTGCATATGCTAATTTTATTTTATATTTTGTTTACAATGTTTATGTGAATAAATTCATCGATTCAGTATATAAATTCATAACAATCATCCTATCATCCTATTTCGCGAAAAAGTAGGAGCACTCAGGTGATTATTTTCCGTAGGATTAAATGTATTGACTCTAGTAGCTTGATTTCGAACTGAAGTAATCGCAATTACTTTGGGAGAATTTGGTCGAATGTAATAATAAAAAAAGGAAGTTGAAATTACAATTGTTGCTAAATTAATTTTCACCAAATAAGCTTGCAGTCACGATTGGAATTAAAAATCACAATTAAAACACAAAACATTGAGTGCTTGTTTGTTTTTTATTTATTTATTTATTTTTTCATTTTTGTATTTGGGGAGTCGGGTATGGTCTATTACACTCATCCTTATCAGTTGTAGTGACACAATTTTGTGAACGATTTGCAAACATTTTAGCAAAATAAGAAAAAAAAAAAAAAAAGAGTGAGAAATAAGAAATATATGTCTAATTATAATTCGAATTGAGGTATGATGGACTCTAAAATATTCATATTTATGCTAATATGTATGTATATCACTCCACCTTAACTGTGTAGGTTCTTGCTTTATTGGACTGGTTTAATTGGTGTACATACAATGCTTTTTACACTATTGTGACTGTTCAAGGTATAGAAGATAGAATCAAAAGATAGTGTTTTGATTATAATTCTGAAGTATACAACTTTGTATGATGAATAAAAAAAAATTAATGCAAATAGTTTGTGGAATCATTTATTTATATACATGCAACTTCACTAACGGAGATATACCTCTGCGTTTTCTAATCATAAATGATGAATGTCAAGAAATTAAAAGTAAGGTGAATAAAAGTTTATATTGTATAGTTCAAGAATGAACTCATTAAGTAAATAATTAAATTTGTCATATAATATATTAATCAAAAGATTATCATGTAGCTGACCTTATCTTTATGGTTTATTGCAGATTTGAAAACATACTAAGTGACAAGGACGTCCAATCTTTAAGCATTTAAATGCCCGTGGGACCCATCACTCGAAGCCGAACTCGTTAGTTTCAAAAATCCGTCACTGCATTGATCAAACAATTTTTCATGGAGAATCAATTTAAGGATAATGCTTGGAGACCACTTAGCCCTCACCTGACGTTCCTTCAATGGGACCCGCAAGAATCCCAATTGAAAGATCAAGAGAATCGCTAATCATGGAAGATTATCAAGAGAATCGCTAATCATGGAAGATTATCAAGAGAATCATCACTTATGGAGAAAATCACTAATGATGGAAGTATATCAAGGGAATAATCACTTATGAAGATAATCACTAATCATGGAAGTATATCAAGGGAATCATCATTTATGGAGAGAATCGCTAATCATGGAAGATTATCAAGGGAATCATCACTTATTATGGAGGCTTCTAGAAGTACCTTAATATATATTTCCTTTTATTATAAGTTTTTATATAGTATAATTCCATATCTAAAACTTCCCTAATTATTTATTTCCTTATAGTTATACTTACCTTTTGGTTTTTTTTTTATTTGTTGTCTTTTATTTTCCTCAAGGACCTCTATATAAGGTCCTTGTCTATCATTGTAATGGGAACCTTCTTTTTTACGTCTTGAATTGAATTTCACTTTTATAATTTTCTAGTGTTAGAGAGTGATTTCCTCACATTTAGAATCTCAAATCGGGTCTTTGGAGTGATTCAATCGGTTCATGACTTCCAATCCTTTGCAGTAGGATTTAGCCTATTGTTTGTGTTTTACCTATGGATTGATTTCAAGTTCGAGACTTATTCTCGTGGTTGGTTATCATCCATACTAATTCAAATTCTCTGCACTATCTTTTCTTTTATTCCTATTTTTAATCCATTTGTTTATTGAACTTTGTGGGTAAGAAAATTATATTGGTTATAATTATACACGGTTGGGCCATGTCATTTGGTATCAGAGCTAATTGATATAATCTCTTGATTAATATCACGGTTCTTATTTGAAAAAAAAGGAAAAAAAAACAGTTATTATCAAATATCAAGATATTTATTATTTATTTCTTGTTCTCGAATCATCTTTTCTTTTATAAAAAAAAATAAAAATAAAAATCTATTAGATTATTTGTCTACCTTCATTCTAAACTTATATTTCTTTTGTTTTCACTACTGTTTTAGATTTTTTGGCTATCGTCTTTAGGAGAATTCCATCGATTTGATTTGAATTCTTTTTGCGAGACGGAGAGGTACATAAGGTGTGAAGTGATACACGAGAATGAGAGTTCTAGTGAGGTTATTTTTTTTTATATTTCTTTCTTCTCTTTCTAATGGCAAGGGGTGAAAGTACATACCCGATATATTTTTTATTTTGAAAGTACATTTTAATTATATTTAAATTCTATGGATTTTATTATTATTATTTTTTTTCATTTCAACTATATAACAATTCTAAATTCAATGTATATTTTTAAGAAAATAATAATAAAATTTTAGAATATATAGTGACGTACAATTAAACACGACCGTGTGATACCATGAGCGTGTATAATTATATATATGGCCGTGTAATAACATGGTCGTATATAATTGTACAGTTATCTCCAAGTCAACTGTCGCGTCAACAACAATAGTTTTCATTAGTCTTTTAACGGTAAGACCAAAATTGATTGAAATGATTTATAATACGATTAAAATTAATAATTTTTTTTTTTTATATTTTTTTTTATAATAGAACAAAAATTGATATATCTGATTGTATTGAACAAAAAAATGATTTTTTTTTTTTTTTTTTCCTGCGACATGTCACTGCCAAATGGGTTCTTTAATTTAATCTATACGAAAATTGTCGAGTGAACGTGACAATTCAAAGCTCCACCCATGCCAACCTACAACTACTACTGCTACTATACCTAATTATTTTTCACTATAAATTGAATTTTTTTAATGTACCTCATTTATTTATTTATTTATTTTAATGTAGCTCATTATTTTAATCTCGATTGAGAGTTTGAAGCAAATAAAAATTGTTCAATTTTCAATCTGGATATATTATTATTTTTTTAAATAATAATATTTTCTTATTTTATTGGTCTGTCACTGACCGACGCCGTTACTCTATCGTTTCCTTTTGTTACCGTTACGAAATTTGATTCCGTCTTTCAAATTCACATTCTTTGATCTCAATTGGATAAAAACCCTAATTCCTATTTTTTTCTTTTTTTTCACACTTTTTTCGGGAACATAACAAATGATTAAAGGTGTCTACTAAAAATTTTAAATTTAAATAATTATATGATATAAATAGATTGATTTAATATTTTGAATATATAATTAATTTTATAATAATATAAAAAATAAAAAATAAATATTTGATTTTATATATATATACTTTTGAAAAAAACCTTCAAACATACACACGAAGATTCCCACTAGCCAAAAATAATTAATTATTATTCCTTATATTCTGGGTTTTTATTTAATTTTTTAATAAATAAATAAATTATTTTCACGCTGAAAGCGACGGCGGCGGAGTGGTTGCTTCTCAGTCATCCAAAGCATCCTGCAAAGATCAATCGAGCTGATTTTAAGCTTGGAATTTTGGGGGAGAAAGCTCGATTTCGATATATATATATTGTATGTATAGGTTTCGGGAGATGGTGGAGGTGGACGGCGGCGGTCCGTCGGGGAAGCAGCCACAGCAAATCTCCGATATGTTTCAGAAATTCGCGCTCGCTTTCAAGGCGAAGACGTACGAGCTCTTCGCGGAGGAGTCCGGCGGCGCCGATTCGGAGGGGGATGTCGCTCTGCTCCTCGATTCGGCAGAGGAGTTTATCCCAGACCAGAAGGTTGTGGTGGTTAAGCCGGACGAATCGGGCGGAGGATCCGTCGGAGAGTTGATTCCGTCGCTCTTCGCCACCGTCTCCTCCTTTGAAGCTGCGTATTTGCAGTTCCAATCGGCGCACGTTCCGGCGGTTGACCGGGAAGCGCTCGAGCAGGCGGACGATTCAATTGTGTCGATTCTGCAGAAATTGACGGCGATGAAGAACTCGTTCAAGGATTATTCGAGGAAGAGGAAGTTAGGGCTGGCTCACGCCTTCCCGGCGGCGTCAATTTGGGAATTTCAGGTGGAGGAGAATCAGAGCAAGCTCAGAGTCCTGGAGACGGTGGTGAACTCTCTGCAATCCGAAATCGACGCTAAGGACGACGTAGTTAGGGATTTGAGGAAGAAATTGGATCAAATTAGGGTTTCAGTAGCGGATTTCACCAAAAAATTGGGGGTTACACCAAAATCATCCCAAATCAAGCCATCTCTAACAATTCGTGTCTTCGAAAGCTTCCTCAACGATTCCATCAAATCAATCCGCAGCTTCACAAAGCTCCTCATTGAATTGATGAACAATGCAGGATGGAATTTGGAGGAAGCTGCAAATTCTGTCCATCCCGGCGTCAGCTACGCGAAGACCGGGCACCTGCGATACACCTTCATGTCCTACATCTGTCTTCGAATGTGCCAAGATTTCGACAAGCAGAGTTTCGGATTGCCGGCTACTGAAACCAGCGGAGCTAGTGATCAATTGAGGCAATTGATCGAACACGCCGAGAGTGATCATATGGAGATATTGAGGAAGAATCCAAACTGCGAATTCTCGCGGTTCCGCGAATACAAATACAATCAGATTATCCATCCGACAATGGAATCGTCGATTTTCAGCAATTTAAGCCACACCAACAAGGAGAAGGTGTTGGATTCATGGAAATCATTGAGCATTTTCTACGAATCGTTCACTAGCATGGCGAGCTCGGTGTGGCTGCTCCACAAGCTGGCGAATTCATTCACCCCTTCCATCGAAATATTCCAGGTGGAGAGAGGTGCAGAGTTTTCGATGATCTACATGGATGATGTAACCGGTAAATTTAACTTTGCAGGAAACAGTTACACGCCGAGGAGAGTCGGGTTCACAGTCGTGCCGGGATTCAAAGTAGGAAGGACTGTCGTTCAATCGCAGGTTTATCTCACAAACTCAACATCTGCCTTAAATTAAGAGTTGTTGGATCGAATGTTGTTAGAATTGAGTTAACCTTGTGTGAAATCTTGAACATGATGATTGATTGATCTTTCTTGAAGTTTTACATTTTAGCAAAATAGTTAGGTTAGGATTAGGTCTCTGTGTTCTTTGTTGTGTAATATCTCATCCCTCTTGTGTTGTGGTTTGTAGCTATTTCTTCGTTTTCGTGTTTCTATAGCTTCGCTTAATGCCTGTAAAAAGAACGATTTTCCTCGAATAGAAAATCAACAACTTGTGTGCAATCCGTGTTGTTGTTGCTGTGTCTTTTTTTTATTATTACGTGAGAACTTGCCGTCGCTGTTCTTATTCTTGTTCTTGTTCTTCGATACTGTCTTTTTAGTTGCAGCTGCGGTATGTTAATACGGATATGTTGTTTAGAGGTAATAATGAGCTGAGTAATTTATATTTGAGCTTGGCTCGTTGGCTACTCAGCTTAGTTTCTATTTATTTGGTATTCCCTCCATCTCAAAAAAGTGTAGTCTTATTATATTGTACATGAGATTTAAGAAATATTTGATATTATATCGGTATTTGGTAAAAAGTTAGGATAAATGACTTTTTTACCCTTGCGATTATATTAGTGTAAAAAATAGTGACAATTGTGTAATAATAATTAAAAAATAGGGATAATTTTCTAGTGATATGGTTTTTTCATGAAAAATGAGACTATTGTTTTTGGAACGAAAAAAAGACTATTGTATTGGAACGGAGGGAGTAAAATATATTGAACTGAATATTTTTATTTTTTTAAATTTAAATTTAATTAATAATAATAATAATTGTGTTTTCACTTTATATTTTTTGTTTAATTGCTTTTTATGTTAAATATGAAAATTCATATTGATAATATAAAAATAAATATTGTACTTTGACTTGTTTATTTATTTAAGAAGTACGTTACTCCCTCCGGCACGTTCATATTATCCGCTGTTTAAATTATCCATTTTAGTTTGGGCACAAAATTTTAGATATTAACTAATTAATAAGTAATTAAAAATATATCGGTGAAAATAATTATGATTTAATAAAAATAGTTATATAGTAAAATTAATATGACTATATAGTTTACTTAAAATTAAGATAATTGTAAATTATAAATTTTAAAATATGATAAAATGTATAATTTTATTTTAGAAAGGAAATAATAAATTATGTGAAAGAGACAAAAATCAGAAAGAGGGACAAATTAAGTGGGACCAAAGTATTATGTCTTCGTACGTCTGTCACTATTATATATATTTTTTATCCGTTAAATTTATGCACAATCTTTCTCTAGTAAGATATTTTTTTATTTATAATTTTTTTACTTATATTTTTAAAAATAATAATATTTTGTCATTTTTTTCTTACCCAGTCACTTCTTGATCAACTTTTTGATAAATTAGTCATAATATTTTTATTCTACTTTAAAATTTGCGGTTATTACTTCAAAAAACTTTGTTTTTTTATGAATTATTTTTTATATTAAATATGAAAAATTGTATTGGTAATATAAAAAATAATGTTTAATATTAAAAAGTTAATTTTTGTGATTGAATAAAATATATATTATTATAATATATTAATGTGCATTGTATTTTTTAAATAATATTTATGGAGAATTGTGTCGATCACAAATACAATATGAACAAACCCACAATCTTAACAAAAAAATAAAAAAAAAAGAGTACCACATTATGAGTGTGTTTGTGTTTACTTATACGGTTTTACGTCTGATTTTACTATTTCAATTTTTTTTTTCTCCAAAAATATCAAATCAAACACCAAATTTTTATTTATTTTATTACATTAAAATTTAATTTTATATTCAAAACATCACTTCAATACATATTTATATCACATACCAAACTAGGCAGTGGACCTGAATTGATCTCAATCTAGTAAACTTGAATGAGCCCATATTAAAGCACGAGTCTAGCCCAAACTAGAAATTTATAATCTCTACTCAAATATATATATATATCTATTTTGGAATATCTCAAAAATAAATAAATAAATTTAATACATTAATTTTCTTTTCTTTTTTATCATTTTAAATGCAATTAATTAAATTATTTCAAATAAAGAAAATAAAAAAATAGTTAAAAATTTATTGAGTCTAAAAAAATAGATCTGAAAAAATTCAAGTCATTATGGCTCGGCACAAGTATGAAACAAGTTGTGCCGGAGCAATCAAAGTTCAGTTGTGCCTGCCCGACAATAGATATAATTTTAAAAGAATAATTTATTAATAATATTAAAAAATAAAATTTTGTTAAAAATAAAAATATAATTTAATGATTTAAGTATTGCCTTGTTAGTGTAAGGTCGTGGGTTTAATTCTATTACATAAAGTGTAGAATATATTCCGACACTTTTATGGTTTAGGTGTTGCCTTGTTATTTGGATTTGTTCACTTAGGGTGTGTTTGTTTGAAGGATTTTGGAGGATTTTCACTATTCATCCAATTTTTTTTCCCCAAAAACATCAAATCAAACACCTATTTTTCATTTTTTATATTATACTAAAAATCAATTTTACATTCAAAACATCACATCAAACCCTATTTATATCACATCATACAACTATTCAAATTCAAAATTTTTACTATTCAAATCCCAACTCAAAATCCAAACCTCCAAACAAACACACCCTTAGTATATTTAGGTGAATAATTTCTTATAAATATTATCGAAAATAAATATTTTTTCCGTTCCAAATATTTTGCGATATTTATTTTTTGGTTTGTCTAAGATATTATGCAATATTTTTAAAAATAAAAAATATTTAATTATTACTTCATACTTTGTCTCACCACATCACTCAAATAAAAAAAAGTATATTATGTACTTAGTAAATAATTAATACTCTTTTCCTTCCAACTAATTTGTCCCATTTAGCTTAGATATAGAGTTTTAAGTATTGTATAATTATAAATAATTCAGAATTTTATTAGTAAAAATAATTATGATTTAATAAAAATAATTATAAATTAAGATTAAGATGACTAAATAATTTAATTAAAATAAAAAAATTATAAATTATGAATTTTAAAATATAATTAAAGTATATAATTGTATTTCCACAAAAGGAAATGAAAAATTAAGTGGGACGGACGAAAATAAAAAGAATGACAAATTAAGTGGGACGTATTATTCACCTAAATTTTCGTGTCAAAAATAAATATTGCATCATATTTGAGATGGAAGAAATACAATATATACATTAATACAATATATGTAAATATATATACTTACTTACAAAATCAATAATTGAAAAAAATATATATATACTACCTCCGTCCACTGCCAATATCTATCCATTTACTTTTTGCATGTTAATATTTGAATATTAATTATTATATCAAAGCATAGTACAAATTAAGGAAAAACAAAAAAAAATATTTCTATTGGTGTCTTATAATACTAATGTAATGATATTTGTACAAAAAATTATACAAATATAAAGATATTTTTAATGTTAAAAATAATGACGCCAAATACAAATTGATAGATTGGAGGTGGATGAAGTTAGTATTATTTTTTATATTACTAATATAATTTTTTATATATAATATTCCATCCGTCTCATTGATGCAATCCACCTTTCTATTTCTGCATGTTTCACTTTTTCTTCATTTTTTTTTGAAACATTGTTATACATCTTAATCTTATTTAATTTTTTTTAATTTTTAATTAAATTAATCAGTTATTTTAATTTTAAATTAAAATTATTTTTATTATATGATAAATATTTTCTCTAATACATTATTAATTATTTACGAATTACATTCCTGCTAAATTTACATGTTTACGGTAAAAGAGACACAGAGGAAATATAAAAAATGTATTCATTAAAAACATTATCATGGAAATTATATACTCCCCCGTCTCAGCGGAATTGAACTATTTTTTTAATTAGTCAATATTAATGAGTTATGATATTATTATATTATTTTTTTATAATTAATAATATTTATAGTTTTAAAGTAAATTTAATATATATGATTAAAAAAATTAAAATATATGTTTAAATATTTAAAAATTATATAAAAATTAAAAAATATATGCAATATGGATATCATTTCGTAGAGAATAAAATATTCTATAATACAAGTAAATAAAAAAATATTTTTGTTTATTTATAATTAACATAAATCAATTTTATAAAAGATATGTAGTTTTAAATATAGATAAAAATATTTATTTTTTTGAGGAGAGAGGTAGAAATAAAAGGATTTTGAGTGGATCCTACATCGTTGTATGTTATGTAGTTAATTAAGTTGATTTATATTTGTTAAATATGTTTTGGTGTAATAATTTTTACCAAAAATAAAAAAATATCAATTGTTACGGGACAAATAAAAATAGAAATAATGTCAAATGTGGTGGAATGAAGAGAGTATATATATATATATGCTCTGACTTGACTGACAACTACGTATCTCTGTAGGAGTGGTCATATCACATTACTCCCTCTGTCATGCAAATATGTGCTTATTTGACCGGGTACGAGTTTTAATAAAAGTTAGTAATAATTATTAATATTTTTTTTATAGTAAAAAATAGTACAAAAATGAAATGATTTTTTACTAAAAAAGAAAATGATAATATTTTTCGATGATAATTCAAAAAAAGAAATGAGTATATATTTGAATAACGGAGAAAATATTAATTTTAGTAAACCCTTTGTTATTTTTTGTTGTCATCAATTTTCTGCTTGCATATATATATATATATACACATAAATTTCACAACTCACAAACACACACATATAAATATATATTTACATATATTTAAACAGTATTCATATTTCATGACAAAATTAATTACCCTAGTACTTATAAGAGCTACAGAAAAATGAAACTGTCATTGGGCCTACATATTTAGGCATATTAAAAGATCGGGTAAACTGTTTTTTTAGTCCTATAAGTGGAGCATGTTACAAACTAGTCTCATAAGTGAAAAATTTTCGCTGTTTTAGTCCTCTGGCGCCGGAGATGCCCGCGTGGCTCGCCGGAGGTGACGTGTCCGCCAGGTGTCACTGACCTGGAGGAGACGTGAATTTTTTATTTTTCATTTTTTTAAATTTTTTTTAAAACTTATTTTTAATTTATTTTAAATTTATTTGTATTTCTTTTATTTTTTTATTTTTTTATTTGATCCAATTAAAAAAATAAAAAAATAAAAAAATAAAAATCCACGTGTCCGCCAGGTGTCGCTGACCTGGTGGGACACCTGGCAGACACGTCACCTCCAGCGAG